TCCTTCCTTCCTTCCTTCCTTCCTTCCTTCCTTCCTTCCTTCTCTCTTCCTTCCCTTCCTTCCTTCCTTCTTTTCCTTCCTTCCTTTCCTTCCTTTCCTTCCTTCCTTCCTTTCCTTCCTTCCTTCCTTTGCTTCCTTTCCTTCCTTCCTTCCTTCCTTCCTTCCTTCCTTCCTTCCTTCCTTCCTTCCTTCCTTCTTTCCTTCCTTCCTTCCTTCCTTCCTTCCTTCCTTCCTTTGCTTCCTTCCCTTCCTTCCTTTCCTTCCTCCCATCCTTCCTTCCTTCCCTTCCTTCCCTCCCTTCCTTCCTTCCTTCCTTCCCTCCTTCCTTCCTTCCTTCCTTCCCTCCTTCCTTTCCTTCCTTTCCTTCCTTTGCTTCCTTCCCTTCCTTCCCTTCCTTTCTTCCCTTCCCCTCCTTTCCTACTTTTCCTTCCTTCCTCCCTTCCTTCCTTCCTTCCTTCCCTTCCCTTCCCTTCCCTTCCCTTCCCTTCCCTTCCCTTCCACATTGTGGTTAGAATGTAGCATTGCAGGCTGACTGCCCACTGCCAGCAGTTCGATCCTGGCTGGCTCAAGATTGACTCAGCCTCCCGTTCTTTCCGAGGTCAATAAAATGAGGACCCAGATTATTGGGGGCAGGAGGCTGACTCCGTAAAACCGCCCTGGAAAGCACTCTAAAGCAGTATATAAGTCTAAGTGCTATTGCTGTTAAGAACCGTCTCGCTTAGCAACAGAAATGACGGGCTCCGTTGTGGTCATAAGTGTATAGCCCTCCTCCCCCCTCCCCCTTCTCGGTGTTGGGTGATGAGGGCAGAGGGGTGGCATGGAGGCAGCCTCACCTTCTGGAAGCTCATGGTGAGGTCCCGCTGAGGCACTTGCAGAATCCATCGGTAGCTCTCCCGCACCGAATGGAGCCGCTGGGCAGATTCATTCACTCCTAGGCAGCTGGAATCCACAACCAGGGCTGGCGAGAAGAAAGACGTGGGGGTGAAATTTCTCCATGGGGAAAACCGTAATACAAATAAAACATCTTTTTTTAAAAACAAAAATAGCATGGTCCCGGGTTGCACTTCTTTATCCAGACACAAACTCAATTTGATGCTTACTTTTACGTTCTATTCCATATCTTATTACTGTTTTTACATTTTCTACCGAGTTTTTCCTCTTCTCTTCATTTTCTCAATTTTATTTTAATTATCTCATCTTAATTCAAATCATTATATTTATACTTTTGTCTGTCCTGTTTCAATTTCGTATCTTCTTTTCTCATTAAACAAATTTTCTCCTGTAGTTACGAATTGGAGGATGACACCTTTATATCTTTTAATTTTATCCATTCGACTCTTATTTAAGCTTCAATATATACCTTGAGGTTATAACATTCAATATAATACATAACTTCCAATCGAATTCGGCTTGGTATATTTTAAAAATACACACTATATTCTTAAAATGATTCTGAATATATGTAATTAAAACACTCATTCCATTCCAATTCAATTCTATCATTAATATTCATTAGAGTCTTAACATCTTTAACATTTCTTTTCAATTAAATATCATACTTCCTTGGGAACACTTATAAGCTTTCTGTAATTAATTCTTTTTAAGGCATTAAATAATTAAAATGTTCCCATCCTTTCCTAATTCAATTCTCTCATTCATTTTATTTCATTTACTAACAAACATTTCACTAGATTACAATAACTATTTTATCCATCATTTTAATCATACCTTGTTTCATATTTTCTAAAATTATTTCTATTTCTAATATGACAATACTATCTTATGTACCTTTTTCAATTTAATTTTCACCCATTATCTCTAAATAGGTCCTGTTTCTCCATATCTTGTTTCTGTCTTTATAACTTCTTTTCCTTTCCTTCTTCCCTCTCTTCTTCTCCCTCCCCTTTTTATCCCCTTGTCTCTCCACTTCTAATTCTCTCTTCTGTATTCCCCAGTTCTGTTGCTTTCTAATATTGTACTTATTTTTCAAACTATGCTTCCTTTTCTTGGTTGTTTTTTCAAATCTTAAACTTTTCATTCTCTTTCCCCCCTTTCCTTTTTTCCCCCCACATAAAGTTACTTGTTCATTCAAGATGGCTACTTCTTTGTCCCAGTGTTCTTGTTCTGCAGGCATTTCTTGTTGTTTCTCATAGTTCCGGATCTCCATTTCTAAGAATTGAAATACGACGCCAAAAGAACCTCTCCCTTCTTGTGCATCTTCTTTGTACTTTTTAAGTTCCATTTTCAATTCATCCAAAAGTAGTGCCATTTTAAACACTTTTAAACAACCACCCAATTGATTTTAATCATTCAAATGCAATAACCAAAAATCCAGAGATCACCAAGTAATCCAAATACTCCCAAGCTGCTTCTTCTTGCTTCTTTTTTCCACTTTCGCTTCCTGGGGTTCTACTATTTTGTTGCCAAGTTTCAGTTAAAGTGTATCTTTTAGAAGTCTTGTTGAAATTTTGCTGTAAATTCCTTTTAATTCCAGGCGGTCTCCTCCCTTTTTTCCAGATCCTGCCCTTTTATTCTTTTTCTCTCCTTTCCTGCTTTTAAAAGCTTTTAAGTATCCAGAAATCGTTATTATCCCTTTGACATTTTATCTTCAGCTTAAATGCCTATTGATGTCAAAGTGGATTTTTTTTTTCTGATTTCTTATTTAGATCTCTTTGCTGTCAGTAAAGGCAAAGGGAGAGAAGAAAATAAAACCAAATCCTTTCCCTTTTCACTCTCCTTCACTGCTTCAAAGTCATCTTTGGGAACAATGTTACTTTTTTTTTTTTAGTTTAAATTCCAGGGTACCTTAGTTGTTGCTTTTGCAGTTTGACCCGGTCAGCCAAAACTTTCTCTTCTTATCTTCCTCCTGCACATTCTTTTCCGGTCGAGTTCTTCTTTGAGGTGGCCATTTCTGACCACCGCTGCAACCGCCTTCGGGAAGGGGAGTAATGGCCAGCTGAGGAGGAGAGATGTGGCTCTCCTCAACCCTGCTGACAGTCTTCCCCCCTCTTCACCACCTCTACGGGGTGGCTTAGCCCCGAAACCAGCTGGCTCGGGGCGCTCCAGCGGCGAGCACGGATCAAAACTGCGCACAATCGCGGTTTTGGTCTGTCCACGAAGAGGCTCAAACCGGAAGTTCTCGATGGCGAACCTTTTTGTTGTGGTGTGTCAAAAGCGCCTGTGTGCCGGCACCCACAATGCAATGCCCCCTGCCCCCTCCGTGCATGCCCATGCCTCCTTACTTGCACTGCGCATGTGCGCACCTCCTAGCTGATTTTCGGCCCATTTGAGGCCCTTTTTGCCCTCCCGGAGGTTTGAGGGAAGCCTCTGCAGCCTCGGGAGGCTGAAAAATGGGCTCATTTCAGCACTTCTGGTATTTCCAGAAGGCCCGTTTTTCGGCTTCCCGAGGCTGCAGAGGCTTCTCTCGAGCCTCCGGGAGGGCGAAAACGGCCTCAAACGGGCCAAAAATCAGCTGGGAGGCACACGCATGCACAGTGCAGGTAAATTTGCCAGGGGTTCGCGTGCCCGCACAAACAGCTCTGCATGCCACGTGTGGCATGCATGCCATAGGTTTGCCCTCACAGGGAAAGGGTCTCCTGCTAGAGCAGGGGTTGGACTAGATGACCTCCAAGGTCCCTTTCCAGCTCTTTTCTGATTGATTGATTGATTGATTGATTGAAGTTGTGAATGTTCCAACACTGGAGGTTTTTAAGAAGAGACTGGACGGCCACTTGTCTGCAATGGTATAGGGTCTCCTGCTAGAGCAGGGGTTGGACTGGATGACCTCCAAGGTCCCTTTCCAACTCTATTCAGATAGATAGATAGATAGATAGATAGATAGATAGATAGATAGATAGAGATAGAGATAGAGATAGATAGATAGATAGATAGATAGATTCATTGATTGATTCATTGATTGATTCATTGATTTATTGATTGACTGATTGATTGATCTCTCTCAGGAACAGCCCTGTGCCCCCTCCCCCACATCTGCTGGGTCCTACGCATCAAACACAAGCAACACAGAACACAACATGCACAACACAACAAACCCAAAATCTGCCGTTCCCATACATTAGGGGTAGGCTTTTAGAAACGTGCCGTTCACCCGTTGCAGAAAAAGCCATATTTTCAACTGATGAAAGAAAAAAGCAATATCTTCTTCTCTGGCGCGGTGTTTTGATATTTCACAATGATACGGCGGTGTTATTAGACAATTTCCTTTTTATCTCTATATAGTTTATAATAATACGGTGGAATAAGGCGTCTTTGGTACAGCAGGGGCAGCAAACTATTTAACATATATTCTTAAATGTTTAAGGTAGCAATTTAATGCTAAATTCTGTTAGAATCCTTAAAATGTGGTGGTATTTTTTTTTCTTTTTAACCTTTCCTTTCCTCTCCTCCCTCCTCTTTTTTATTTTCCTTTCCTCTCCTCTTCATCCATCTTTCCCTTCCCCCTTTCCTTTCCTCCTTTCCCATTTGCTTTAATTTTAATTTTGTTGCTGTTTTTCATTAATTACTTTTCATGTTGCAGATCTCATTTCTATTGGTTATCATTTGTGCGGTGATCATCGAATATTCTCAGTCATCCAGGTCATGGTCTTCCCTACGGTGCTTTTTCCCCTAAAAGGCAGCTGGACTTTTCTTACTTCCAAGAAAGTTCCACACCCATTTGCAATACAGCTTAGTCCTTGACTTACAACACTTCACTTAGTGGCCGTTTAAAGTTACAACAGCACTGGAAAAAAAAAGAGACTTATATGGCCAATGTTCACATTTATGACCATTGCAGCATCCCTGTGCTCACGTGATCAAAATCCAGACGCTTCGCAACTGTTTCATATTTATGACGGTTGCAGTTGTCCTGGGGTCCTTCGGTCCCCTTTTGCGACCTTCTGATAAGCAGCGGGGAAGCCTCAACAATTGTTTTACTAACTTAATGACTGCAGTGGTTCACTTAACAACTGTGGCAAAAAAGGGTCGTAAAATGGGGCAAAACTCACTTAGCAAATGTCTCACTTAGCGACAGAAATGTTGGGCTCAATTGAGGCCCTAAGTGGCCTGTATTGCTTGTATTCAGGAGACCCCGAGGACACAAATAAACCTCCAAATGGCCTCAATGATTCTCAGAGAGAGTACTAACGACCAGAGGACTGCAAGGAATATAAATCCTGCCATCCGCCACCATTCAGTCAGAACTGAAGAAGCTTCTTGGATGAGAAGTGAAACCTCTTCAAGGAAAAAAAAACCCAAGAAAGTCCAGTTGCCTTTTTTTGGTGAGGGGAAAATGCACCTTTGCATTCTGTTCCTTGTTTGCAATTTTGCAAAATAAAGAAGCATAAAGATTTTTTTTTAAAAAAAAATAGATACCACTGGGCAGTTGATTCTCCTTTTCTTCCATGGGATCCATGTCCAAGCCGCGTTTCTCTCTTCGATGGGTCTCGCTCACCAGGGAATCTATCACAAAGCAAAGTAGGAAAGAGACAAATTTGATTCATTGTCCCAAAGTTTAACCCTCTAGGAATGAATTTTGGACAACATAGCTGCCAATATCTGGACAGCCCTCCAGCTGATGTATGAGTGTGCTGCCCCATTCACGCACACAGATACACACACACACACACACACACACACGGTTTTTGTTAGGGATAACAAGGTTACCTAACGTAGTTTGGGTAAAATAATATATATAAACTAGGATAGTAAGTTTAAGTGTGTGTCACTTTAAACTGCAAAGCATGTAATTTTGGGTGCGGTTGTGAACCGCCATAAGAGGAACCAAGAGAACCTGACGATTGCTGGTTTGATGGATTGATGGTTTGTTAACTGCGTGTTCCCTGAATGCTGGAGGAAGAAAGGAGGTGTGACTTCTTCATATCTCTACTGCGAGGAGATATATTACTGGACTGATATTTGTAAGTTTACTGACCTCTCTTTTTCGACACTGGGCTTTGCAACTGAATAATCCCTGGACGGACTGAACTAGTGAATGATATATGGACTGTTTTGACTATGCTAAAACTCTTACTGGAATAAACTATTTAACTAGCACTGTGTATCTGTTTTACTGAGTGTAAGCTACAAAAATGTTTATCTCACATATTTTGCCTGCCTGCCTGACTGCCGTGCAGATTCTGCTAGGGTGTATCCCTAACAGTTTTAATTTAGATAATTCATTAATGTTCCCCGCAATTTCCTTCACCCAGCCTCAGAACTGTCCCAAATAAATCCAGCTATAAGCAGGCCAAGGTTAGTCCACAGAGCAATGGCCAATAGTCCATAAAACAATAGAAAGTTGCTCCACCAGGCCAAACTGAAATACACCCACAAGAGCTTGGCAGGAGAAGTTCAGCGTCTCCAAGGCACAAAGTGAAGCATGAAGCATGAGGAATAAACACACACAGCCATTAACCAAATACGTTCCCAGCAATGCCTCCTTCTGCCTGCTGTGACCAACAGCTTTCCGGTGAGCTCATCAAAATGGGCGGGGCCTTCTCCCGAGTAATCTGGCAGATCTCCATTGCTCTTGTCTTTTCTCTGCCCTGTGTGCTCTCGGATCCACCACAGAAGATAGCTCCTTCTCCCCCTCCTCTTCACTGACCTACAAGCTGCCCCCAAACAAAGCCTGTGGTAAACCTATTTCAGCCGGCTTTTGACCCTCATTAATTAACCCAGTTCCTGACGTGCCAGCAATGCGCTCGTCCTCCCTTAAGTTGGCCTCTGAGGAAGAGAAGGATTCATCCGATGAGTCTAATTGTTCCGACCACAGGTGATGATAAATTTATGTGGCTACACGAGACATTTGTCAAGTGGCTTTTGTGCCCCATTTTGCAACCTTTCGTGCCACAGTTGTTAAGCGAATCACTGCAGTTGTTAAGTTAGTACTACAGTCGTTAAGTGAATCTGGATTTCCTGTTAACTTTGCATGGGGGGGGGGGGGAAATCGCATGATACCAGCACACCGCGATCGTCCTAAATATGAACCAATTGCCAAGCATCTGAATTTTGATCATGTCTCCCTTGGCAACATAAATTTTGGACTCAACTATGGACATAAATCGAGGACCACCTGTAGGAAATCAACAATTTGGCTTATTTAGTT